ATTTGACTGCTAACCAGAAGGCTGGTGGTTCAAATCCACCAGCCACTCCTTGGAAGGAAGGTTGGGCAATCTACTTCTGTAGTGATACTGCCTTGGAAACCCATGGAGTGGTTGGATCCAACTTGACAGCAGTGAATTTTTTGTTGTTGTTGTTATTTGTTTGTTTTCAAAGATATAAGCTCCCAAGAACAAAGAGAATTAAAAAGGAGACAACAGAAGTTAAGTCACTACAACAAATGTAGGCGAGATGAGAAGTGGATAGAATTGAAGGACCTGATTTAGTAGAGAGGAGGAAACTGAAAGCTTGAGTCTGTAGAGGTAGATACCCATTAGTTTCTTTCAAAGTACTCCAGAAGGACTCTAGACATGAGTGCAAGGTGTTACAGGAGGCAGGGGGTGAGGCATGGGGTTGAAAGCAGGGACTTTGGTGGAATTTTGTAACCAAAGCAGTTAGCCCTCTAGGTCCTTTCCTGTTCATGTAGTCAAGGGACTCCTCATCCACTCAGCTCTATTCTCATACCTGCCCCAGGGAAGAAGAAAAGCTTCACTTAGGGATATTAGGCCCATCTCAGCTACTAACCAAAAGTTTGGTGGTTCAAACTTACCCAGTGGCGCCACAGAAAAAAGTCCTAGAGATCTGCTTCTGTAAAGATTCCAGCCAAGAAAACCCTATGGATCAGTTCTACTCTGTAACACGTGGGGTTGCCATGAGTCTGAATTGATGGTGCAAAAAGGGCAAGGAGGCCACATGTTCTGACCTCCTCTAATCCCACAAGAGGAAGACAGAATCACCATCAATAGCCCAAGGCCTATTCCTGCGAGGCCAGACATGCTGCCTCCCTCCAGCCCTTTCTCCAACCATTCCTCCCAAAGCACCCACCACCTTTCTCCTGGGTTCATTCACTGCAGTGGCCACAGAGAGCTCACAGATTATGGGGTTTATTAGGGAAGCACCACAGGCTACAGTTCAAGTTCAGGAAAAATGCTCTGTCTCTCTCCCAGCCCACCGTCCCTCAACCAACAGTCTCTCACAGTCTCTTTCCCAGCAGTGCTGGTCCATCGGTGTCTCACTCAGCAATGCGTGTCTCTTGCGTCTCTTTCCCAGCAACACATGTCTCAGGAGCACATGTCTCTTTCAGCAGTACATCTTCCTCAGCCAGCAGTCAGAGAGAATTCTGCCTCTAGGAGGCCTCCTTTTGAGCCTGGCAGAGTGGCCAAACTAGCCAATCATAGCATCAGAACTCTAAGCACCTGA